TGGAACCCGCTGAGCGGCGAACTCCAACATTTGTCCGGCGCGCCGACCAGCGAGGACATCACCCGCCATACAGGTCAGTGTTCGTGTAAGAATGCTCCTTATACCGAAGACCAGCTTTTTTTTGAATTGTTTCCCGACGTCATCCTACTCGTAGTCGGGCGCCAGTATTATAGTGAGACCTTACACACACTGGAGTCTGCGTGCAGCAAGGAGGTCTGCTGTAACTTNGGGATGTCTGTCCGCTGACCGGGGGCGAATGGGACCCACCGCTGGGTACAGCACAAGCGAAGGGGCAGGCGGCAGGCGAGGATGCTAGCAGGCCGAAGAAAAAGGTAACACCCGAGATAGCTAGTAGTCGCCCCCCGAATGCTAGCAGCAGGACGTCTCGCGCTCGAGGTCCTCAAGAAACAAACAACTACCGCGCACACGGCTTCAGCAGACTCCCGGGGGAGACTGAAGATTACACCAAGTGGACCGTGCCTAAGCTTCGCGAGTTTCTAAGTGTGAGTAAATTATGGTTTTTGGCGACATTTTTTATAGGAGAACTGCTGTCAGTAGGCTACTGGTCGGAAAGGGTAATTACTAATTACAGTCGTAGTTGTGACAGAATATTTGGTCCATAGACTGTTGCTACTTCGAAGTATCTTTTGGGCAAAGGATGCATCTTGAGTTAAAAACTTGACGTTTCGTTATATTTCTGCCAGACTGCCGTTACTGGCATCCGAGTGCGCCTGTCGACCATCCAGCAGCAGGTAGAGCGATGTACGCACACACGCGAACCTATGTTGGTCCGCATACAAAAGAGACCACACACCACGTTCCGCTTCTGACCCAGCGCACATGCAAACGGCTGCTGTTAATAAAGTTCGGGGCGGATATCNCTTGACGTTTCGTAATATTTCTGCCAGACTGCCGTTACTGGCATCCGAGTGCGCCTGTCGACCATCCAGCAGCAGGTAGAGCGATGTACGCACACACGCGAACCTATGTTGGTCCGCATACAAAAGAGACCACACACCACGTTCCGCTTCTGACCCAGCGCACATGCAAACGGCTGCTGTTAATAAAGTTCGGGGCGGATATCCCGATTGGATTAAGTAGTACTACTGTATGTATAAGAAATGGCGCCTGAATGGTACCCCACAAGTCGTCCGATTTTGGACTGTAGTTGAATTGTTCGCGTACGGTGGACCACCCTCAAACCAGATTAAGTACACCATTGTCGCCGAATATGTGCAATTCAGCCCCCCTCGCAGTCTGTTTACGGTAATGGTCACATTGATCACAAGTCAGATATCGATGCGCGTCAACCTCTCTGCAACAGCAGTAGGTCGAACACGGGATTATTGTGCGTAGGGTAACACCGAACCTAGAGGTTTTGGTTTCTTCGCGCTCTGTTCGAGGCAGCGATGGGGTACGAGATGCACGCGGCGACTGCACGTGGAGATAGCAAATTGTATCGGAAGATAGACATTGTACTTCGCCTAAGAAAAGCGGGTGGGTTTTGGTGTGCGTCATCAGCTAAGCATGAACGTATATGCGCCCCACACGCTTGGGATGCTCCCCTTGTCATGTGCATTTATGCCGTCAGGTTTTTAGGTGT